CCTTTAGTGTGCAGTCTAGCTCCATAGGCTCCTTTAGTGTGCAGTCTAGCTCCATAGGCTCCTTTAGTGTGCAGTCTAGCTCCATAGGCTCCTTTAGTGTGCAGTCTAGTTCCATAGGCTCCTTTAGTGTGCAGTCTAGCTCCATAGGCTCCTTTAGTGTGCAGTCTAGTTCCATAGGCTCCTTTAGTGTGCAGTCTAGTTCCATAGGCTCCTTTAGTGTGCAGTCTAGCCCCATAGGCTCCTTTAGTGTGCAGTCTAGCTCTATAGGCTCCTTTAGTGTGCAGTCTAGCTCCATAGGCTCCTTTAGTGTGCAGTCTAGCTCTATAGGCTCCTTTAGTGTGCAGTCTAGCTCCATAGGCTCCTTTAGTGTGCAGTCTAGCTCCATAGGCTCCTTTAGTGTGCAGTCTAGCCCCATAGGCTCCTTTAGTGTGCAGTCTAGCTCTATAGGCTCCTTTAGTGTGCAGTCTAGCTCTATAGGCTCCTTTAGTGTGCAGTCTAGCTCTATAGGCTCCTTTAGTGTGCAGTCTAGCTCCATAGGCTCCTTTTGTAAAGGGCCCTGACTGAGTCTGTTTCCACCTGAAACATAATTCCACCACAAACATGATTATTACAAGTTTTTGGGAGGCTAATCAACTCACAAAAAGTTCCTTGACAAACACCTGTTATATATGTCAAGGGTTTTAAATCCTTACCTTGTTCACATTTCTTTTGAAGCCTGTTGAGGTATAGGCTTCAGTTTCTGGGACAGGTTGTGAAAAATCCTACAATAAAAGAGATGTGTAACTTGGGCCAGTCCCTGTTTTATGCCACACATTCAAATGTTTGCCTTAATAAAAAGCCCAGTGCGTTCACCTCAGCAACTGTCCCAGAACACAGACAGAGTGTCTTCATCATTTCCTCCTCCCTGATAAATAAAAGTAGGCCAATATGTTTCTGGTGTTCTGTCTGCTGCATACTGACCTCTGTGTGGGAGACTGTGTGTGTGCTGGCTTCAACAGGGACACTGCATTTCCCTCTACTGCAGAACATACAGTCAGCCATATTTAAAACTTAAAATAGTAATGTATCGCACACGTACCCAGTGTTACTTGCTTAGAGGAGCCGGCACCAGGGTCAGATTGTACAGCACCTGTAATCCCATCCATAATCGGCCGTCCCTTATTCCTATCAGAGCCAACTCAGTGTATTCTGGAGGAGTGGCCCTCCACTGGTTTTCTGAATTTCACTCTTTTTTCGGTTTGCCTCAAACAAGTGTTAATAAAAAAATAAAAGGTTGTGTGTAAATACTTACTAGGCTACTTTGAATTATATTTTTATATTTTGTCTTTATCAGCTGCCAAGAACATTTGGAGTTGCATCTAAAAATCAATGAATATTAATCTTTATTAGTATATACATGCACTTTTTTATATATATTATAAAAATATAGGCTATATTTCACACACACATACATTCATAGCCTATACATCATTTTACATGAATAAAGAACGTATTTATTTAGCTTACACATTAACACAATCAGCAATCTTTCTCCAACAGTCTTCTCTTGCTTTGGCAGCAGAGACCGTATTGTTTCGAGCTTGTAATACATATTTAAATTCATCGTAATTCTGAATGATTATCTCTTGCTCCTCCGCGGAAAGAAAATATCGCTCTCGCTCTATCCATATCGAACGCGATTGGTTGTTCGGTGCCAACGTCACTTTGGTATGTGCACGCGCTCGTGGAGTAATCATAGCTTAAGATCAAAGCCTGAGTTGACAGAGAAAGTTGATGAGCTGCGTCATGGTACCAATAAAGCCTGATTGCATCGGTTTGGTTTTGTCAACTCAAAACTAATCCTGTAACTTCGAGTTTGTTCAGCTACCTTCATGGTACAGGCCCCTGATCCTCATGTGCTCTGATCCCTTTAGATTGTGCCTCTTTCCCTCATGTCTTTGCTGGTTCGTTTTGTATATGTACTTTGTGGTGTTTTCGGGTTTGTGATCTTGAAATTACCCTAGTGCTTACGTTGGTTTGTTATCATATTCCCAGTGTCAGATTATCCTTGTTGCTTTTTTGTTTTGCTTAGCTTTAGCACTTGTGCTTTATATCTAGTTTGAGTTCTCTTTTGTTTTAGAATTTTATTTTTAGTTATATTCTTAAGTTCTTATTTTCCTTGTCAAGTGGAAGTCTTGCTTCTCTTTAGTAGTGATGGGCAGATCGAGGCTTCGTGAAACTGAAACAGTTGAAGCAAATGTGCCGTATTGTGTCGAGGCTTCGAAACAATCCGACACCTGTCTCCATGGTGACCCCTAGTGGTCAGAACAGTGTAAATGCAACAAAAACCTGAGAACAGGGAACGAGACACTGCGTCGATGACGCTTTGGGGAATGAAATTAAATGAATAATAGTTAATAGTCTTATTGGCCTGTTTAGCTGAGCCATTCATAGAACTAACAAAACAAACCCTGACAATTGATAAAAGAACATATATACACTTGATAATCTTATTAAATGATTAGATAATTGCATTTGAAAGATTTTACTTTCAATAAAACATTTGCAATAGTTCCCTTTCGAAAGGGAACTCGCACTGCGTCGATGACGCTTTGGGGAACGCCTCACGCGTGACAGGTGTCTGAAATCACAATCAAATCACGGCAATCACATTGACCGGCGACAGGCCGTGAATCATTAGTGTGAATGATTAACGTGCGACCTGGTAGTATAAAAGGGCGCCTTGCAAACATGACAAATCACCTTATCGTCTGAAGGGACTGTTCGGTAGGCAAGCCCCAAGGCATGGCGAGGAGACGCAGTGTCTCGTTCCCTGTTCTCAGGGAACAGAGGTTACAGTCGTAACCTAGACGTTCCCTTTCGAAAGGGAACTCGCACTGCGTCGATGACGCTTTGGGGAACGATATACCAACGCCACCATGCTAAGGGGAGTGCATGCCAGGTGGCAGTGACAACTGTCAGAACCAGCAAATTCAAATGAAACGCTAGAACCACTCACCCTCAGGTCACACTGGGCTGTCATTGACAGCATTCCCTACAGTCATAGCCCAAGCTAAGCCTCGCAGGAAAACCTCCATACACATGGTTAAATGAAAGGCCTACCTGGACCTGCTCAGGGCCTGGAACCACAGCTTCCAATTAAAAGGGGTCCCTTCTAGGGAATGTGGCTAGGGAACCCGGAGGAACCCCAGCCAGTCACTATTCAGGGGAACGTACTCACCCCGAAATGCCACCAGGACGGCCTGACCCGGCATCAGATACATAGACACTTAGTCTGGCCACTTCCTGTCTGTCCGAAGACAGAGCCTCTGGACACTTGCCTTAGGTAAGGCATCCAACCCGAGGGACTGCGAAGCTGGCAGTGAACCACTCGGCCGGATCTCAGAGACGGGATATCCCGGAGAGTATGACTCAGCATAGTGCTTCCCAACCCTTGCCAGTGAGAGGAGATTCTCTACTCGATCCACGGATCTACCCAGTGTTTGTTTCAAAACACAGAGGAGGCCTGTGAAGGCCTAAGGACTGATCTAACGGGGAGGCCTCACGACAGGCCTACGACCGTCTGACCAGACTCAGGAGTCCGCGTGCTCATAGTGACCCTCGATGAGGGGAGCACATGGTCCGCCTGGTAGGCAAACCAGGCTGCTATAGACTAATGTCTAATTAAATAGTCTACAAATGTATAAAACTGATCAGAGATCAGGTAAAACCCACATACACTTGTTCAATGGTTCTCAGTGACTCCTCATGATTCATGGGTTGACAGAGATCATCGCCCCAATGGTGAACCATTGAAATTTCGAAGTGTTCCGAAGCGTTTCGAAACAGTTATGACGTAATGGAGCCTCGTTTACTGAAATCGCGTGACTCTGGCAGTTTGATACACACTACGAACAACTGATTCGGAACAAACGATTTGTAAAGGCTTGAAAGCTTCATGAAGCAGTGTTTTGAAATTGCCATCACTACTCTTTAGCTACTCCAGATTTTTATCTTAGATCTTAGTTTTTTTCATTAGTTTGCTTTTAATATATTTATTTCTTTACTTTTTGTTTGTATAGTCATTGATCTTATCAGTTTAGTTTTGGTTATCTTTATTGTAGCTTTATCTTCTCTGTCTTGTCTTGAGTCTCGTCTTGTGTGTTCCTGCCCTGTATCCTGAGTCCCCTGGCCACTGACTCTCAACTGCCTGGCAGCCTGACTGGTGCAGCTATCTAGCTCCTGTTTCAAGACTCTGGTTCTGTGCGCCCAGCTCGTTCTCATCCCAAGGTGTCATCCAACTGACGCTTTTGACCATGCGTCAACATGCCGACGCACATGGTACCCCTTAAGCGTCAATATGAGACGCGCCTCCTAGGTCTAACCCTAACCCTACCCCAGACCTAAACCTACCCATAACGGAAGCGTCATCTAACTGACGCTAAAGGGTGCCATGTGCGTCGGACTTAGACGCATGGTCAAAAGTGTCAGTTAGATGACGCCTTGGGATGAGAATGTGTTGGTGCGCCTGTGCCTGGCGGCAAGACTGGTGCATCATCTGAGATCTTCATCGAGCCAGGAGTTCCTTGTGTTCCTGTCTGGTCTTTGCTTTGGAGCTGCCTCTATTCCACTCACATCATCACCATCTTACTGACGTCTCAGTGGTCACCCATCCTGCCTGTCGTATTGTCGTCTGCCCTGCACTACTGTCTGAACTGTGGTTCACGCTTCACTCTCCCTGCTGTCTCTAGTCTTCTGTCTTGTAAATAAAAACCCATTGTCTGCTCATTTGCATTTGGGTCCTATCTCTTGCAGAACTGTGACAACTCTAGTATGACTGAACTAATCTAAGTTAATAGGAAGCTTGCCAGTTGTAAATATAATTTATTTTTCACATCAACCAAATAAACCCAAACTCAAAACAAATTTGTGTAAAAATACACTATGAGATTAAAGTCCTGAGCTCCTCTCTTGGATCTCAAGATGTTTTCATAAGTAGAAATTGTTGAAGCTGTATTCACCTGGTGCTCTTAGAGGCAGTCCGTTGTCCAACCCTCGGGGTTTAGTGGCGATGAACAGGTAGCAAAGCACACAAAGAGTGATGATGAAGGCTAGCAGCACCACAGCAGCAATAGACAAACCAACCAGAGCTCCCAAACTAAAGGACAGAGAAAGAGAGAGAGATTCAATTGTTTACATTTAGACCATGATGACATCAAATACTCAATGCACAATAGCACATGGATGCACTGTGCCATGTTTGATGTCATTAATATAAGAGAGAAACAGAATTAAGGAATGAGTGAGGTAACATGAAATCATGAGAGAGATACAAGTCACTAGTCAGAAATAGGTTTAAGTTACGATGTAGACCAACAATGCTGGAGAGCAGAGATATCTAGCAAAACCACAAATGTTTTTCCACCAAAAAAATAAAAATAAAAGACTATCACTTTCAATTAGTTATATTGTTAGTTATAGTGTTATTATTTTTATTTCCTTGTATTGTATCTAATCCGTTTGAAATTGTACAGCACTTGGTATACTGTGTTTGTTTAAGGTGCTTTATAAATAAACTTTGATTTGATTTGAATTATTCCATTACTTGGTTAGATGTTTTTCCACTTTCAAACAACTCCTTTCAAATATCCTTCTCCCCCACAAGATCACAGGATGAAAGCATAATGACTTTGTTTTAGATTATCAAAGCGTGCTGTCGCACATCTGCATGCCTGAGAACAAATTATAACCAGCTTTGAAAAAAGCAAAAAGCAAAGTTCTTACATAAATCAGTTAATGTTAATGGATTGTTTCGCATTAATTGTTTCGCGTGGAAGAGGTTGCAGAGACACTAAAAGCAGCAGAGCATCACCTGTGGAGAAACTGCACTTAAAGAGCCACAGTGGGTCATTTAGACTACTTAACCAGTAAAAGGTCAAACTAGCAGGGCATCGCTCATTAAATTTTTACATTTTTTTAACCATGGAAAACTTATCGTTGTTGTGTGGTTGCTAGGTGACCAAATTAATAGAGCCCACCTCATTGAAGGCAGCTGCCTATACAAAAATAAAGATCCTTTATTGGTATCTATGGTTCCATGAAGAATCTATGCAACTTGCCATTGCAAAAATGTTCTACACACCTAGTAAAAAATGGTTCTTTTAGAACTGTTCGCTGAAAGGTTCTTTTTGGAACCTTTATTTTTAAGAGTGTAGGAACAGACCTCAAGATCCCTATCACACTCTTTTAAAACTCTATAAAGCTCCAAAGGGTCAGCAAGAACAACCCCTGTGTGTGAATCATCATTATTGTCCACAGACTTCTCTGAAATGTCATGCTGTAAAATGTCATGTCATGGTGGCATGTGATGAAAACAGTCATAACGGAGTTCCTAGTGAGAGTGATGTAAGACGGCTCTACCAAATCAGCTGAAGATCATTATAGCAGCCAAAGTACATTGGAGGCACTGGGGAAGCTTTTTATTGACCCTGAGTGACAGAAAGTGGAACATTTGTATTTGTATCACCTATACCCTTCTAGGACATGTCCAGGCCATGTTTCACCACACAATAAAAAAAAAAATTAGGCTGATGTTTTGCAAAAAGAAAATGCATGACAATTGGAGAATGGGACTATTTTGCATTAAAGTCGTCATGAAATCAAATTTTACCATTCGTATTTTTATATGTAATATAGTGTTTATTATAAATGATTTATCTGTGCACTTCGTTTTTTTTTTTAATTCATGTGCCCTTATAATCCTTAATCAAATACGTCACCCTTCCCTCCCCCCTCGAAACGACTTCTCTTCTCTTCCGGTCAAAAACTATTACTAGAGGGCGTGGCTATTGGGGTCTGTCTCGTTTCTGGCCCGCCTCTCAGAAACCTGTTAGTGTTACTGACAGCCAGCAAATATGGTTTAGGTGCATTTTTGGTTGCACTCCTCACATCCTCTTTCCTATCCCTAAACAACCTCGTCTGTGTGCCCGCTGGCTCGAATTCCTGCATTTCGAAGAAGGAGGAATAAAGGCGAGTTCGCATCTGTGTGCAAGGGTGATCTTGACTATCAGCCGCCTCATCTTGGTTCGCGGGAGGCTAATATAAATATGGGGTGAGTCCTTCCGGAAAATTTGGCTGCTCGTCCTCGTTCTCATCGTCGGGTTCCTCAATTAAAAATTCTTCATGGGAGAGTAACGGTGGTGAGTACGGTGGAGAGGAATCCTCCACAACTGACTGTAAACTGGCATTCAAATCTGCCTCCATTTTGTTAGCAACGCCCAACCTCCAACGATCCAATCAAATCCCGAAGGACGAAATCAAGCCCCGCCCTACATTTTTTTTCTAATTTCAGAAGCCGTTTCACTCGGATATACGTCACAATAAGGAAAAAAGGACAATCTCAACTTCCGTTTCATGACGACTTTAAAGTCATGAACATTTTTTAATTGATCTTGATGTTTTCGTTTAATTTTGGGTTGAAATAAACATGTTCTTGACAGGTTTTGTGATATTCACACAAAACATATAAAATCTGGTTTGAAAACAATTTGTTTGTTTAGATGTATTGACCAGGACTATGTTTCCTAAATGCATTATAAGCCTATAAATTAGTGTTAATTTTACCAGCCATTTTTAAATTTAGTTTCAGTTTTAGTCCAGTTTCAGCATCGCTTGTTAGTTTTTATCACATTTAGTCGACATCATCCCATTTTTATTTAGTCTAGTTTTAGTCGACTATAAGTCGAGCATTTTAGTCTTTATTTTAGTACAAGAAAACATGATTTTATTCGTTTAGTTTTAGTCAACAAAAACTGTCAACATTTTAGTCTAGTTTTAGTCAGGACATCATTTTAACCTTTTACTTTTTTGTCAGCAGATAATATTTAACATTTCCTAAAATTATTTCACATTTCAACATTTTCTCTCATCTTTTTGATAAAAAACACAATTTTAAGGAACACATGCAGACATGGAAGATGTTCTGACAATATTTGCATATTTATTTTGAACATTGTTAAAGGGATACTCCACCGTTTTTTCATATTAAACTATGGTATTCTCTTATCTAAGACGAGTTGATACATACCTCTCTGTATGGCGGAATAGCACTTATTGGGAGCACTTCGACTCGGCGCTGTAATATCTTCACTCGTGAAAAGTCCTCTCCCCCTCTCCCTCTCCCTGTCATTTCCGTCAATAGAACCAACGTGACCTGCACGCCTGCAGTAGTAGTAGTTTTTTGTGCAGAGTTGACGAAGTATCAGGGAGAGGGAGAGGGAGAGGGAGAGGGAGAGGGAGAGGGGGAGAGGACTTTTCACGAGTGAAGATATTACAGCGCCGAGTCGAAGTGCTCCCAATAAGTGCTATTCCGCCATACATTATAGTTATCCATTTTACCCGCTTATAAAAAAGCGCCACATTTTATTTAGTGTCACCATACTTGGTCGTGTAACTACTCGTGTAACTATATTTAAATAGAGAAAACGTGGATGTGTTTGGTTGCTTCTAACTTCATCTCTGTTTGGCCCATATACAATGAATGGGGCTAAGCTAACTGCTCTCAAAGCTCTCCGCCCGACAGAGCGATTCAGTGCACGCACTGAGACGAGAGAGGTATGTATCAACTCGTCTTAGATAAGAGAATACCATAGTTTAATATGAAAAAACGGTGGAGTATCCCTTTAAGGTTCAAAGACACAAACACAAATGCTTGCATTAAAACAAATAAAATACACCTGACAAAGGAAACAAATAAATAAAATAAAGTGTCTTATGAACTTAACACAAGTGCTGGCTGTTTAAAGCTAGTTCACATAGAATAATAAAATAAATAGATTTGTAATAATAGAATAAAAATAATGTGCAGATAAACAGAGCAGCATTTTATGTCACCAAATAAAGACATTGGGAGTTTGCATCCCAATCCCTGCAGTGGTTCCCCTAGCAATGGCTATTTTGTGTGAATGAAAATCTAGGTTAAAGTTGTTCTGAATTATGTGTGGTGTATTATTTTTATTTTGTCTTATCCTGATAAATTGTTTCAGTTCGTTTTAGCATTTAGCATACATGTGTAGCTGCCGAGGTGTTTTGTGTTAACTATAGTTCACTTGCAGCTCCTAGATTACCTAAAGCGTCTGTCTGCTTTAATCAAACTTGCAATTTAAGTGAAACTATAGTTGCCCGGCCAGTATAACATATCTAAGTTAGCATAAATTTAACTTCACATACAATTCTATCAACAAGTGGCTACGGTCGCTACGTGCTAAGAAGCTAACGTAACGTAGCCAGCCTGGATACTAAATGCTATGAAAGTTAGCCAACATTAGTTAGTTTATCATTGGGACATTATAGCCGTTGATTTAATGTTACATTATAAACAACCACCACCAATCTTTCTGTTAACTTAACACAATGTCTTTGTGGTGAACTGCGACGTGTCTCTTCAGGTTTGTTGTGTTTTTTCCAGCTACCATGTGGCCACATTCCTTCCCTTCGACTAAAATCAAGCATTTGGTTTTGTTCTCCACTTCAATGAAGCGAAAATGTGTCCATATATCACGTCTCCTCTTTCTCCCGAGCCCCGTGCAAAGCATGTTTTACTTTTAACCCGTCGCCGCCTCGCCGTGAATCCAGCTCCTGTCTGCTCCATGTGTTGTGTAGGCTACTCTGTGCCCGGCCCGCCCGCTCCAGGTTTGAAAGTGGGTGTGTGTGGCGGAAGAGCTGACGAGGAGGAGGCGGAGGAGGAGACAGGATTTGACAAAACCATATCATATAATAATATGTAATTTTCGTCTCGTCTTTGTTCGTGAACTAAAATGTCCATAGATTTTAGCCCAGTCTTTTATTTACCGAACTGCATTTTCGTCTCGTCTTTAGTAGTCTACGAAAATTATTTCTGATTTACTCCCAGTTATTGTTTATTAGTGGGGATTTTAGTCTCGTCTCGTCTAGTTTTCGTTCGGTGAAAAATGTGCGTTGACGAAAATATTATCGTTTAGTTTTCGTTAACGAAATTAACACTACTATAAATGAATTGTAGAAACCATTGGTAAAAATGGCCTCTCTCTACATAGGTTTATGATGCTTTTGGGAAAGCCCAGGATGATATGGGCATTTCTAACTGTTAAGCTATGGGATCCTGTGGGAAACAATGATCACTAATGAGAGTTTCTATTCAGTCAGTCACAATCAATGTTACATCAATACTGACGTATTGGGGTCTCACTTGGGAGCCCAGTCACCTTCGAGGGGTAACAAAATGAGCCAATGGATATTGCCCAGTGAGATTTGCATGCCGAGCCACTCCTACCCGACAAACGGGTATATAAGCCAGCTAGCAACTATCTCGATCAGGTTTTGCTGTGAGCCGAGACAGGGATCCCAGCAGTTCAGAGGTGGTTCAGGGTTGTGGAAGGAGGAACGTAACGTCTTCGTCTTCGTCGACATTCTTTATACTATCGCTGATGTTTCTTCTAGACAGCAAAGAAGTTAAATGGAGAGCAAATAGATACATTTTCCTGCAAAAACACTTATTTGGCACAAGAGGAGACCTCTTGAGTTTCAGATTTTCCTGCAAAAACACTTATCTGGCACGTCTCCTCTTGAGTTTCAGAAGAGATCTCAATAACGTCAAAAACCATTTTCAGATCTGCAATCAGATTTCTCAGCATGAACTTCAAAATTTCTCATCGAATTCCACCAAGACCAAATGATCTGCTATTCAAATTAATTTATAGTTCCATACTCTTACTTTGTCAAGAATTGTCCAATTTTTCTCTACTTTTAGTTTTATTTCTATCAAGGAACTTTGAGAGAGAAACACCAGAGATTACATTTAAACTTGAAACATACGTGATTACTCCATTACCTCTCGAGAGCTATGAAAAAGCAACCTTTAAGCAAAAATAAACTTTCCTCCGTGAGCATCCAGTAAAACTACAATAGTTCTAATCAACACCTGATGTTCTGCCAGTGTCTATAAAACCAGGTGTTGTGATTGACATGAATTCCCAAGTAAGCATTTAACCAAACTTCAGTCATGAATATTGATGATTAATGCAAAGGTTGTTCTTATCATCATATTAATGATAAGATTCAAGAAACATGCATACATTTTCACTTTTCTTGATGTAAATTGCAGCTTTTAAGTTATTGCAACAATTTACATAATAATGGATCTATGAACAATGTACACAAGTGATGCAGTTCTTGCATCTTGAATTGGTGGTGTTTTATTCTAATTAGCTACATATGATGGCATTGAAACGTGCAACAATTTGCATTAATTAATTAGTCATTTAATTACAGCTTAATTGGTCAATCAAAGCTCACGTATTACCACAAAAAAAATATAGCATTTTCTATGACAGTGTCTGTTCTCACTTCTTGTAAGGTCATTATTAAGTGACTGTGCAGAAAGCGCTCTTTAAATCAAGACTTAATTAAGACTTGAGAGTGTGATTAGACCACTTGACTAAAGCTATTTACTGAGGTTAATGACACATGCAATTATCAATTATGAACCTTGATTAATCTGATCAAATTAAACCTGTTCCCTGGTTTATAGGATTTCAATGTCCTATTTCAAGGTTGTTAACATCTAAACATGCTTAAAGATTATTATGAGAAGCAAAACCTTTGTGTACCAAATTTTCTATTTCTTTCTATTTTATTCAATTTTTTTGCCATTTATTTTTTCTTTTGTAAACATGTCTACATATATTTTTTTTTAGTTTGTCTTTGATGTTTGGTTGCAGTCTGCACTTCTGATCAATCAATTCTTAACTTTGTCTCGTTTTACAGTTGAAAAATTATGTAAACATCCTCAAAACAAAATACATTTTCCTGAGAAGCAGAATACAAATTAAACAATGACAAACACTCTTATATTCAAGATACATTCAATGAAAACAAGTCTCAGTATGTTAGTTTCTCAGTTAAACTTTCATCCGTTTTGCTGCTTAGTGTTCATTTAGAAAATTTTGCATTTAAAACAATGTTTGCCTTTTGAAAATCCGTTTTGTCTGCATCATGGCTCCTGAAAACAACGCATTTTATTTCTTTAACAATATTGGAGAGAATAAACTAGTTTGTCCTTGAAAGCCTACTGTTTGATTTGGGTACATAACAAATAAAGAACACTTCAAAATGTATGATTATCTTCCTTTTGTGTAACACAAAAGATGTTTAGCAGAATATCGATATCGAAACAAAAACACAAGAAATCACTTTAATGTCAATATGAATCATGTAGATATGCCATGGCTCCTAAAGCCATGATAGCTATTTACAATGAACAGAACAACGACAGTCATTATTCAGTCATATTTCTTGGAAAATCTTGTTTGAAATAGCCATTTGGCACTTGGGAAACAGGCATGGCATGCTGTGGATGATGACGAAACATACAAATGAGATTTACAAGTTATTGGAGTTAAAAGTTTTTTTGTTTTGTTTTGTTTTGTTTTTTTAGCTTAACAGTATAAATAACCACTTTTGTAGAATGGAAAAGCATGCATTCAACAAAATAATGAAAGGTTCTGATTCTTGTTGTTTAGGAAAAGACAGAATCAGAGAGTGTTGTTTTAGACAAATGTACGAAAATAACCATAATATCACACAATATCACAGTTACTCATCAAACTTGGTCATTTCTCTCATGTTTACGTTGATAGTGGTGACTACAAAGTTGTCATTGCCAAGTTCGCCAACCATATGTCTACATAATTTAAAATTAGACATACATAAAATATAGAAGTTTCACAAAATACCGTCTTACCTAAGCCACCACATGTATCCATATTCATATGGGAAAAAGCTGTTGGGATCGTCGCAGCAGTATTTGACGTCATTGAACCCGCAGCAGAATGTCGCGCGCGCGTCGCTGTCGGGTTTGGGGCACGTGAAGCCGCTGACAAACACGCTCTCCGCGTTGTAATATCCCGCGCAATCCGCGTTCATGCTGCCTGCGACTCGAACCCTCAACCGGCCACTTGTTAAAGCCTGAAGACTCTTATCACATCCTCTGGAGTTGCATCAGTCGTCTGAGAGTTACTCCAGTCAGATTATAAACAGTGATGTGACGACTGTCAAAGACGCGCGAACATCTGAACGTGAGATGCTGAGAGCTTTCTTTATAATCTCTCTCTCTCTCTCTCTCTCTCTCTCTCTCTCTCTCTCTCTCTCTCTCTCTCTCTCTCTCTCTCTCTCTCTCTCTCTCTCTCTCTCACACACTCACACACACACACACACACACACAATCAATCAATCCAATCACCTTGTTTCTCTTCTATCCACTCTCACTTTCTGTCTTTCATATCCTCTTATCCGTTATATCTTAAGTTTTGTTGTAATGACTACACACTAGATAGATAGATAGATAGATAGATAGGCAGATAGATCAAAATAGATGTAAATTAAGAACTCTATGTGTTAAGAACATGTTTTTATATTATTACAGTTTTTCTGAATTGCTAAAACACATTTCTTGAAACTATCACTCACTTTCTCAAAACCTTAAACACAAAACCAAATTTTCAAACCACATTCAGAGAACCTTTGACTCTTCTGGCAAAATCAAACGATTGCCTCAAAACCATTTTATCTGTGCTCAAAATTAAAGGTGCAATGTGTAACATTTTTGAGTATCTATTAACAGAAATCCAATATGACATCCATAACTATGTGTTCAGTGGTGTAAAAAGACCTTACTTAAAGGAGCTGTATGTAAGATTGTGGACAAAACTGGTACTGCAATCACTTTTAAATTACTGTAGAGCGGTGCATCCCCATTAATTCTTCTCCCTCGCTGTGTTATGGCTTTGCTATGTGGGGATAAATGTGCTGGTTAAGTTCGTGAGACAGCTTATTAGTAGGCTACTCTTGTCATGGACCGTAAAACAGTTACAGGAATCACCAACCTGTCGATCTTGGAAGCATTTTAAGTCGATCGAGTTTCCAAAATCAGAGAAAAAAGCCTATTGTGTGTAGTAAGTGGTGTCTATGGGATGCGGAGGCGCGCGCGCTGTTACAATCACGTCATTTTTGCCGCACGCACCTTTGGGCTCATGCGGACGCGTCGAGTTTAAACAAGGCTTAACGCGTTAACCAGCTCAGCCACAGTAACAGCTCATATTAGCCAGCTAAACTTTTACTACCCTGTTAGAAAAAATATATAGTTGCATAGTTTCATGTGGTTCTTCTCCCTCGCTGTATTATGGGTTTGCTATGTGGGGAGAATGTGCTGGTTACGTTCGTGAGACAATCAGCTGATTACTATTATTATATTATATATTAAGACCCTTGATCCTCACCTGAAACTTTATCCATGATGTGGTTTATAATGGACTGTGGTACAGAAACTTGGCTTCCTCTGGCTATTCTCTGCTGACTCAGACGACGATGTTTGTCCCGTTTTAGCCACCGTGGCTTCTTCCAAAGGGAGGGGTGAGCGGTGGGCTGAGCTCTTAGTGTAAACTCGCTACCGAACCGCTAGATGTCTCTAAAATCTACACACTGCACCTTTAAGCAATGCTCTCAGATCATACACACAGCGAGCCAATATTATAAACACTACAGTTCATACATTAGACACTACAGAGAAAAATGGAGAACACAGCATGCAGTTACAGGAAAAAAAATATATTGTAACAAAGTAAACAAATTTTGCAATTAGTAAAAAAGTATAGTAACGACAACTTACAGTATTAAGGTGAATAAATTGTATACTGTATGCACTGCAAGTATTGTGCTGAATATTGTAGGCCTATAGTATTGAATGTCTGTATACTCAGCTCTTGCATACTGTGAAAATACAGTGACCCAACCAACTGCTAAAGCCAAAAAGGTTACAGTAAAAAACTGTAAATGAAAAGCATGCTACAGTCACTCAGAAGAGTTGTGCAACTGCAGAATCAAGGTCAGTGAGAGAGATTGGACATGTGTTCTGCTTCAGCATCACGTCTTCACATCTCAGACAATGTCGTCTCTGCAGGCGAAGGGAAAAACCCTAAAGGAGATCCAGCCTTGACAGCATTCTGCACTCCTGCTCTTCCTCGTCCTCCTTGTTCACCCCCTCTTACATGCACTCTTCCTCCTCTCCCTCTTATATTGTTTCCATCCATTGTTGGTATCAACATTCAGTGCAACATTTTGAGTCAGTTTTGGCTCTGAACTGACTTCTACAGTTGGTTTGATCACATCATTAGAAATAAGTGTGAACAATTTTGAGTCGTTGTGTGTAAACGATGACAAGAGTGTTGCAGTTGTGTTTAACTTTTGCCTGCCTGTGTTTAGTGTTGTGAAACACAAGTGCATCACAGAGTGAAATGTGTTTTAGTGAGTGAGAATGTGTTTAGAGTTTTGCAAAAAGAGTGCATGAGATTTGCAAACAGTGTTTTAACTGCCTGAACTTGTTTAATGTTTTACAGGAAGAGTGATGTATTCGACAAATTGGTTTAGGCTATTGAGAATTTGGTTCAGAGAATGGGGTTTAGTGTTTTAGCGATTCAGAAAAACTGTATTATGAAATATTTACATATGAACATATTTTATAGTATAATTCTGATCTAAATATTTTCCAACATAGACACAGTTTGAGCTGCTCTAGAGAAACTCATCAGCACAAGAATGGATGTCCTTGAAGTTTCCGTACACACCACACTTTTCTCTCATAATATTACACAATTAATTTCCTCATATGATCTGCTGCATGTTCGCAGAACCACGTGTTATTATATCTTGATAAAGAGAAGAACATTTTCAAATTGTTTGGAGGCGCTCTACCGTCGTTGATGCGTTGAGAAGTTTTCATAGAAGAAACGCATGTGAGTTTTCACATTTTCTTCATGTTAGTAGTTTTAGTGCATTTTTCAATAATTCAGTTTTTTTAACAATGATTTTTATTTACTTGCCCAGTAAATTTATTTTGTTATCTTAACAGTGCACCTTTAAATACTCCCAGCCTCACTTTATACCAGCGCAAGTACCACTTGGTTAAGTTGGATTTCGGGTGGTTTGTGAATGAAGACAAAGGATTTGGTGCTGAAATGGTGGAGTATGTTTTTTTTTTTTTATGTATATATTTTCTTGTGTTTGTATATCAAAGAATATTAATGCTGCATTGTTTCCACAACATAAATATGTGTGCTCTGCCTATGATTACGACCAGCTTTAAAGCACCCAGATTGCTGAAGCTGATGCAGCGTTGCCACAGTAACACAACATGCCTCAGAGTTCAGCTTCAACACTTCGGTCCAGAGGAAAATGAGCCCAGGTTCAAGTCAGCAACACCCATTATCAGCTATGCAAGCAAACATAGCAGGTGCTCAGGTGAGGGAAAAAAGGGCAACTCTCATAATTACTATAGAAAACACATAAAAATATGTTAGTTACTCACACACTATAAACCACCTTTAAATTACTTTCATATTATTTATTTACATAAATATGTCTGTTGTAACTTGGCATAATGCTGGAATTGGTAAATGAGCAAAAGTAATGTTGTGCATTACTGACAGAAATTACTATTTATTATTGCAATTATACTATTATTATTTAGATATATTACACTGCAATTACAGTTGGAGGAATAATGTAAAAAAATAAATAATAAAAAAGATACTTTTAAATGAAACCGCCAGTAGGTGGCGCCAAGTCTTAATTGGTGAGTCAAATAATAATCATATATGTTCAAACCGGCTTATTCATTTATGAACGAAAAACCACTCTTGAGATGCAGGGAGGTTTGCTTTGTTCTGAACTATTTTTGTTTGTGAAATACAGCAAATTGACATTATTGTGTTCAAAATGTTAAATTGATAACTTATTTATTGTTTACTGAACTGTTGTATTAAAACGAAAATATTAAAATTACATTTGCAATAGTGCTGATATTCGGGAAAACAGCACTTTTGCTCGAGTGATATTGCTCAACTATTTCACATGATATATAAACATAAAAATCAAAATTTCATGCAGGAAAAATTCATATCTTGAATTTTGCTGACATTTTTATTAATTTTGGTGGCATTTTCCACTCTGCACGACGCAATTTTACACAAGACTCGCTTTTTTGTTGTTAATGTAGGGCTATTGCCTAGTTAGGCTGGCTCTATGTTTAATTTAACAGCAGTGACAAACGATGCAAAGCTTAGGGTAAACTCACTATTGTTACCTGGCTGTCACCAGTGAAAGCTGTGTGGTGGCCATGACAAGGGATGTAGGTACATACTTAATTGAGAATTGATGACATTGGGCACATTTATATAAATAAAATAAATTTAAAATAAACTAAAAATGCACTTATGACTTAGAAAACGACACTTATCTAGTCAGAGACCAAAAGGTCAGGTGCTTGAGGACCACTTGGGGTCTATCTATCTATGCACGTGCCTGCAAGCAGACGTCTATCTGAAATGTAACATACTGATTTGTGTCATTAATGCATGCTGGCTGACTAGATATTTTACCCATGGACCTGCCTGAGCTCTTGGTTGTACTCCGTCTAATGAGTCAGCTGCGCTGTTGGTTGTATCTGATCTGAAGAACGTGTAGAAAGAAAAGGCATAAGTGGGTCGGCGAAGGCACACAAAGTCTAGGAGAGTTAAGCTAAGCAAAAAGCAAGAGAAAAGAATTAAAAGTTTGGCAGAGAAAGGGGAAGACAACACAACAGGGAAGAGCCAATAAGTGGAGTGATTGAAGTTGATGATTTGACCTGGTGGTCAACCTCTGTTTGTACTGATTCATGCCTGTACAAGCTCTTGCCTTGCCTCAAAAATACAAAGTGCCTTTTTATCTTATCTGAAGAACTGTGTTGGATAGACTCGACAGGAGAAAGGGAAAAACATTTCAGCTTTCTGCCTCATTCATTGTTTTTGAAAGGACATTTCGAAGGCACAATCCATGCTGAACATCCAAATGACCATTATTTTTTAGCCCTGTGCTCTCCAACCCTCCAAAGATCTCACTGTAGGACCTTTAAATGACCTTTAAAAACTTTTAATGCAATGACTAGCCAAGTCTTTTTTACTTGTGTAGTGTTTCCTAAACCTAATCCTAATATAGTTGCTAGGAATGTTGAACCACACATCCCATTTGGAAAATTCAAGGTACACTCTTAAAAATAAACTGTCCAAAAGATTTTTTTTTTTTTGTATCATTAAAAAATGATACCATATGTATCATATCTCCTGAACCAAGCATGATTCAAACTAACTCATCTGTCAAGAGCAAGCGTTTTGCATATCCCGAGATTTGACAAGCAAATGTAATCAAAACATAGGGCTAGACATCACATTTTCTGTGTTATCGCGTTTGGTTCAGGAGATATAATAATACAAAATACATAATTTGGTTATGGAGGAAAGCAAACTGGCCGCCACGAGGCGTTTTTGCGATGGCTCCATTTCTGAAAATGTTCAGGGCTGCACACTGTACAAGTGTACCAAGTTTCATGCTTTTATAAAAAAGTGAACATCATTTGCACATATCGCCTGGACTATAAGTAGTCTCAAACTTATGAAATCTTTTATATGCTTATAGGATGAGAATGTCCAATAGTTAAGTGGTAGGATTGTCGATTGTGTATGATGAAACTACCTTGTTATTGACATCAGTGCCGTTTTTTCCCGATGACTGCTGAAGCTGGTTTCAGAAGACTTAAAAAGAGTCTCCCTCAAGAAAACGTATGGTTAATTCATATATTCTTGATATATTGAGCTGTAGTGCTCAACAAGGTTGGGCAAATTGCTAAATGAATTGAATTGGCCACGCCCATAAGATATTGAATTGGAATGACAGGAAGGGAGATTTTTGCAATTCAAAGAAATTTAACAAATCACAATTTTCTTGTCACTCTCTATTGTCCTGAGGCATGTTATTATCATAGTGTTAAAATGAAGCAGAGAAAAATAAGGTAATTTTGAGAATTGCTTTCCTACTCGCCACTCAAATGGTGTGTTCACACCAAACGCGAATAGAGCGTCAAAAACGCGTCTATCGCGTTTAGTTAGACGCTTGAACATTCGCTCGAGTTCAAATTTTTCAACTTGCGCGGAGGACATTCGCGGCAAACGCGTCGCCCAATTCGCGTCATTCGCAACGCCCGGCGCGAATGATGCGTCTATTCGCGTCTTTGCATTGACTTTGTATGTAATCTACTCGCCCAAATAATTAAATTCGCGTTCGGTGTGAACACACCATAAGCCTCTTAGCAGGAGTATCAGCTTTGATGATCAACAACCTCCTCACATACTCAGTTTATTCTGCGTCATTGTCCATCTTTCAAAATTCTCTGCTAGAATGACAGATAATAGTTCTGCTGTCATGGATATCATTTACTAAAAGCTGGACACAAGTCATCAGCACAATTTTAAAATTATGGACAAAAAAGTTAATTGCTAGAGTGTTCCAGGCATTTGTTTTCCGGAAAAAGGCTGGAAACTGCCCAATTGCAAGTCAATTCTGGCCTCTAGATATGGCATGAGTCCATCTTTCAATGTAAGTACAAAACAACACCTTCATTTAACAAGCAGACATGCCATTCATGGCAGGTGCACAAGTAAAACACCAAAGTTTAATATAGGGTTTTTTTTTTTTTTATATATAGCAAGAGAAATGGCATGTGCTGCCTTCTGATGACGGAGACATTAATGTTATTAATGAATGAGTGAATGTGCATGGCAGCGGCTGGGCATTTGACTAATCTCTGCTAATCCCGACCTGATGAAACCAGATTGAGCAGAAATATTGGCAAAAGAGTGGGATTACTGAGCATGGAGTCTGGGCAAACATGTGACGTGAGGGATGACGAGACAAACCAAACTGACAATTGTACAAATGTGCAAACATGCAACCTTGCACAAGCACATTTACACTGGTATTGTTTGCATGTTTTTCTGATAGCAAAATAACACTTGCTACGAGTGCCCTAAAACCCAGACTCGATGCCATTAAACAGGTCATGTCAGGAATGGTGTCATGGGATGGTACACGTAGAGGTAAAGAGAGGTCTATCTATCAGTGTGTGCATGTGGGACGGCCAGACTGAGTCGGATTACTCTACTGGTAAACATCCGCTGACGGCTGTCCTGGCTGAAATGTATGACGCACAAGTCTCATATCAGAGTTGTCTCCATGTCCTAAAAATCTCTCCCTCTGTGCCTTTCATTAAACAAGAACATCAGCCTCTTCCACATTATGCAGATTTCAGACAACAGTTTGTTTTTACTGAATACATAATGCTGGGAAACATGACGATTCAGAATAGTGCTGGAGTTTGACTCGCTGGTTTGTTTATCAACACAATATTTAGCAATTTTGTCACGTTAAAATCGTGTTTTTTGTTTTTGTTGAGCTGAAATTAATTAAATATGTGTGTAGCACTGTTATTTGTTAACAAAGTCAATGCATTTACCTAATTACCTAATTATGGATCAGAACAAAGGAGGAACTTGACAATAGTACAAGGGTGTCCACGTCAAAACAAGGACATACCATTAGACTTTTGTATAAAGTTAATAATATCATACCATTTGTATAAAACTAATCATATTGATTACACAATAACCCAAAAAGCTTTTTGCATTTTCAGAATGTCATTTTGTGGAGCATGGCTGTTTTCATTGAATGGAAAGAGGAATGTGAATATCCTGCCAAACACCCCCTTTTGTTTTCAACCGATGAAAGAAAGTCATACAGGTTTGAAATGAGGGTGAGTAAACAATGACAGAATTTTGAACTGAATTGAATAAAGTTCCTGTTAATAAACAACTGAAAATAATAAGAATTCACGTAATTCATTCATGCATTTTTTAAGCATTGAGCCATATAAAGTAACAATTATATATATATATATATATATATATATATATATATATATATATATATATATATATATATATATATATATATATATATATATATATATTGTAAGGGGTATACAGTCAAAGACCCAGAACCAGATATGAAGAATGAAGACCCGGAGTCAGAATTATAAAAAATTAAAGAAACGTTTTACTGAAGATAGTTTGCAGTTTCATCAGCAGAAGTCAGCTTCAAGACTCACACAGGAGTTCGTAGGCCGCCCCCCTTACAGTTACAAAGATCACAGCAGTTATACCATTTCCAAGGTCTAAGCTACGTCATTGCTTACAGGTTGAATTATTCTCATTGGCTAAGAAACATGAGAGCCTAAACAATTTAACACATGTGAGGAGATAGGGGTGCCTATCGCCATTAGTAAAGATAGTTGTCGTCCACTCATTAGATTGAGGTCTGTGGTGGCCTCGCAGGTTAGAGAAGGGCGCTGGGGTGTCTGGTCCGAACGTCCAGAACCTACATAGAATGTCATACGCACACACACAAATAACAGACACTAGCAAATAACAGCTCCCATCAAGGCTGAAGAGAGTCTGAGCTCCTTATTATCAGTTAAGTATACCAAAACATAATGCTAAAACATTCACTCATTTGGGAGAAAAACAGATAACTGGCATTTACTCTCAAGGAAGGAAATATACATGAAAGAATACATTTTCATACAACAATTAAAGTTTGATAGTAACGCTCAATATAGCTTGACCATCTTTCCAGCGAAGAATCATATGTGCCCACGCTGCCTTTAGGACCCTCTATAAACCTTTCTACTGATCCCAGAGAAAGAGAAAGAGACAAACGGCCTTGTGGGTTACTTGGCCTTCGTGTCCTGCGTGTACTACGTGCAATCTCAAAGTAAGATTGGAATGCACCTAAAAGAAACTGGTTATTTACATCACATGCATTTAAGAAAATATAATTTCACAAGCACAAAGAATATAAAAATTATGTGATAATGAATATATTTGATTATTGATTTTTATAAAGGAAGTATATAACCATTCAAAAGGATATATGATTATAGATGTATTTGAAGAGGCAAGGGATTTTGACCAACCCTTCAATATATATATATAAAACATTTCCTTAAAGGGATATTTCACCCAAAAATTAAAATTCTATCATGACTTTTGTTCTTCGACCACAAATTAAGATCTTTTTGATGAAATCTGAGCGATTTCTGTCCCTCCATTGACACTAGGGCTGCAACAACTAATCGATAAAATCGATAATAATCGATTATGAAAATCGTTGTCAACGAATGTCATTATCGATTAGTTGGTCTGCTTACGTCACAGGGAGCGTTTACTGGTGATTGGTTGAAACAGGCCAATCAGGATGCTCTCTGTCTTACACGTGCTTCATGAGACACACACGCAAGGTCTCTCTCCCTCCGTTGCTCTGCCGCGCGCTCGCGCTACACGGTTTGGAGCACAGTCTCTTCTGTCTCGCATGCGCGCTCTTGCTTGCGCGCTCAAATCCCGGGAGTTTGAACTAATTTGCGAGCATCAGGGAGGCGCTATCAATATGCGGGTGACTTCCAGAACTTCCGGGAGACTTGGGATGTCTGTATTTTGTGTCTCGAGCATCAGGTTGCGCAATCAGTTCGCTCGCAACATAAGTGATGGATTAAAATAGTGCTACCGCAGAAATATTAAATTAAAACGGTCTTTACAAAGCGAAGCACTAAATATAAAGGCAGTTAATAACAGCAGCAGTAAATTATTGTTTTTTAGTCACTGTACTCAGTGGTTTTCAGCGAATGTTTGTGCACTAATGCATCATTTTTCCTGTCTTTTTAATCAAGCCTGTTAGCTTGCTGCGTACCTCCATTCCGTTCTCTTTATATAGCATTTGTCTACTATTAAGTTTTAATTGTTTTTCAAACGCGATCTACTGCGGCTCTGTTCACACGCTTGTTTTCAGTCTTTCTATATTTATTTTTACAAATTATCCTTGTAATTTAATTAATTTTAAATAAAAATGAAATGAATTATATATTTGAGATGTTTTTAGTTTATATCTTCACATCTGAACAACATGTCTGTAAATTTGTTTAAACAAAAATTGTGTTAAAACAATATGTTGGATATAAATGTTTTTTTTTTTTTCATTAATCATGGTTGTCAACTTGCCATCAGCAATTATCATTAAAAACAATGCAAATATTGATATTTGTAAAACTCAATGTGTGGCTTTTGCACTTTTTAAAGTACACTTTTACACATAAATATCCTAATTTAGGGTTTTAGGTAACACTTTATTTTATGGTGTCCTTGTTACATATGTTACATGTACTTACTGTAGTAATAACAGTAAATTATGCATAATTACATGCAACTAACCCTCAACCTAATCCTACCCTATTTCTATAGTAAGTACATGTAGTTACTTAATATTACTCTGTACTTAAATATATAATTACACTGTAACAAGGACACCTTAAAATAAAGTGTAACCGGGTTTTATTTAGTCATAATAAACAAAAAATCGAATTGAATTTATCCGATTAATCGAAAAATAATCGTCAGATTAATCGATTATCAAAATAATCGTTAGTTGCAGCCCTAATTGACACCTACGCAACTACCACCTTTGGCGCTTTTCCACTGAATGGTACATCTCGGCTCGGTTTGCTTTTCTATTGCAGTTTAGTACTGCTTCAAAGTGGGTGGGATTATAGACTGATCGTTATAGTTGCACCGCCTCTACTGCTGTGACATAATTGTAAATGCGACACAAACAAATCCATAACACAGGAGCAATGGAGCATATTGATGGAATGGTGTTCTTGATTCTCGGCATGTGGATGTTTTTCACTGCAAGACGAAGAAGTTTGTTCGGTTTGGTGTTTCGTGTCGCAAATCCAATGATGCTGGTACTGACGATTCTCTCTGACCAATCAGTGATCTGCAGTGTTTACACGTCACATTTTAGTATTGGAACCTCAACCGAGGTGGTACTATTTAAGTGAGCCGTACCATGCAGTGGAAAAGCCCCATTCGACGCTCCAAAAAGTTCATAAAGAGATTGTAAAACGAATCCATATGAATTGAGCGGTTTAGTCCACATTTTTCTGAAGAGACTTGATCACTTTATATAATAATTTGTTACATTTATATAGCGCTTTTCTGAGTACTCAAAGCATTTACATATGGAAGGGGGGAATCTCCTCAACCACCACTAATGTGCAGCATCACCTGGATGATGCGACGGCAGCCATATTGCGCCAGAACGGCCACCACACACCAGCTTATTGGTGGAGAGGAGACAGACGGTTGAAGCCAATGAGTACATCAGGATGATTAGGAGGCCAATGGGCAAATTTGGCCAGGATGCCGGGGTTACACCCTACTCTTTTATTTTTTAATTGAAAGACTTCCTTTGATTTTTAATAACCCCGCCTACAGGGTGATATGGCTGCTGGTTGATGCATCATTATATGATGAACAGATTTAATTTAGGCAAACAGAAGCTTAACTGAACCTGCTCGACTCGTGAGAACAAACTTTATTGGTTCTTGTGGAAGCTCAAACGTGCTGCGTAACACGAGAATAAACCTCATTGGTTCTCGCAAGTGAACATGCTTGAGCTTTCGTTTATCATACACTAATGTTTGAGTTGATGAATATTTATATGTAAATAAAAGCCTAAATTCAATCTGTTCATCATTGTGCGATCGTGTCTCTTCAGAAAATTTTGACTAAATATTTCATATGGATTAGTTTTACGATCTCTTTATGAACTTTTTGAAACGTCAAAGTAGCAGTTGCGTAGCTGTCAACTGAGGGACAGAAATCTTTCAGATTTGAATAAAAAGATCTTCATTTATGTTTCGAAGAAGAACGAAAGTCTTACTGGTTTGGAACAACATGAGGGTGAGTAATTAATGACAGAATTAAACATTTTCCGTGAACTAAACCTTTAGGGAAATGCTATAGTTAAAGCTGCAGTCTGGCGTTTTTCCTCTTTGTCGCCATCTCTGTTCGAAATCTGCAATTGCAGTCATTTGCGTAATTATCAACTTTACGTGAGTTGTACCTCGACACGGCACAGCGCGGATGAATCCAATGTTTTGAGGACAATGTGCAGCTGTCAATCACCGCGCCGGTGTGGATACTGTCATTCAGAATCACAGATTCTACTTTTTGGAAGTATGACCAACATAATCATTTTCACCCTAAATTGTTGTCTGAACAAGTAAGTAACATCCACATTTGTTCTGACCAACTAAGGGGGGAAAAGCATTGCAGTAAAACGCGCTGATTAAATCTAACGATCGCTTATCATATCACGTCAAACCGTGCAAATTATACTTTGTTCTCAAATTGTTAATGTTAACAACGTCAGCATTGCGCGACTACATTTAAAGCCCTTCCGATATGTATCCTTGTTTTCGCATGGGCCGTTGCAGTCTCTTTTTTTCTGTAGCCACTCCGAAGTCTTTTGCATTTTACAGCGGGTGAATCTGTTGTCACTGGTGATTGTCGTTTGAACCTTTCTGGATCCGCCATCAAATTAATAAGTTTAATTATATCAAGTGCTGTGAGAAAAGGCTATAAATCTCCACTTCCATCATCCTCACACGCAATATAACCTACTAGCCGAGACTCCTTCTTTATGTGTACAGATGTGACGTAATGACGAAAGACATGCAAGAATTCCCTGCGGAAATCCACCAGTACCACTGGAGTTAAAAACATTATTACAACCTTACCGTTTTGAATCGAGCTAAGGCAAGCAGAGAGTTTTGAACACTGGCTGGTTATGTACTTGCTCAAAAGTTTATTTTGGATAATTTGTATCCCAAAAAAGTTACGGACTGCAGCTTTAATGCATTCAGTTCCTTTTTAAGGCAACAAGGAAACAAAATTTGTAAGTCAAATTATGTCTGACTTGAAGCGGAATGTACGGTATGTACAATGTATTTCTAGCATTTGTGGTATTTCATTACCACTTTCGAAGATTTACCACTTCGGTTTAAGTGCAGTTTATTTTGGTCTCAAATGGACCTTTAGCTGTCACATTAGTACCATCATCATGAGTATTGAGAGGCTAGTTCATATATGAGTCGACACTCACAGGGGTTCAGCAGGTTTAACCCTCATGTGGTGTTCAAAACCCTATGACACCTGTGGTCTTCCCCGGTATGTGTGGTTTTTTTTGCACAAAATGACACAGAGTCACACTTGTGGTGTTCCCGGTCATTGAAAGTGAATGGGGGAGACTAAAAATTAGAGAAAAATGTAGTTGTCAGGAGCATGTTCATGTTCACATATGTGTGCTTGAAGACATAGAGCCCTTGGACATGTGCATGCGTGGATACATGCGCACACACACACACACACACACACACACACACACACACACACACACACACACACACACACACACACACACACACACACACACACACACACACACACACACAAACTATTTTCTGAATGACACATTCTTTTGATCTTCTTTTGATTCTTCAGATCCTACCCTGAACTGCATCTAATATCCATTCATCTATCTGACATTATCACACACACACACACTTAAAGTAGACTAGTGTGATCAACAGTACCAATTTTCTAAAAATAAATAAAAAAAATCCAAAATTATTCAAAAATAAAGTTTTTTTTACTCAAAAAATGAGATGCCTACTCTCAGATAAATGAGGCCCACGATTAATTAGATGCAAATGGAAATACAAAACCAGTCCTAATTGAAAGAGAACAAGTTGACAAAAAGATTGAATCCAAGATTGGGTGAAAATATGGTATAATGAGTGATTTATAAGTATTTTTTATAGGCCGGTCATTTTGACCCGGTAAGACCACAAGTGTGACTGTACCATTTTTTTACAAAATAAAAGTTTTTCAAAACAAACTTCCCGGTGAAACATTAAAGTAGACTAGTGTGATCAACAGTACTAATTTTCTAAAAAATAAATAAATAAATAAAAAATAATTCCCAAAATTATAAAAAAAAAAAAAGTTTTACTCAAAAAATGAGACGCCTACTCTTAGATAAATGAGGCCCACGATTAATCAGATGCAAATGAAAATACAAAACCAGTCCTAATTGAACGAGAACAAGTTGACAAAAAGATTGAATCCAAGATTTGGTGAAAATATGGTATAATGAGTGATTTATAAGCTATTTTTTATAGGCCGGTCATTTTGACCCGGGAAGACCACAAGTGTAACAAGGTAACAAACCCCCCCTAAAAAAGTACGAAAATTTAAAAAAAAAAACATTTGAGAAGTAGTTATACCCTTTGGGAACAAAGTCACTAAGTTTCAGTCCAATGCGATAACATTAACTATAGTATTTTTGGGAAAAAGAAAATCTTCTCCGGGTCAAAATAACCCGAAGACCCCATGAGGATGAAGAATCTGAAAGGCACATTATCTAACACATTCTTCGTCTAAAATCTCTTTTATTTGTTCGTTCTGTGTAGCGACTGACCCAGCCCTTGTGCCTCTTTCGAGAATCATTGATGAATAAGACAGCTGGAGTGCAATGCTTAGCCTTCGGTGGTCTGGATTAATTGTGAATGAGGAGCGGAGATGTGTGTGGTGTGCCGGGATTATGTCATCTAACGCTCCTGTGATCCTCTGATCTCCTGTGCACAAAATCACTGACTGTGCAGATTGCGTACACCACTTTTCATACTATATAGTTTGTCATTTTGATTCTTTTTTTATTCACATACTGGTAAAAAGCTTAGGGTTGGTAAGATTGTATGCTCACTAATGCTGAATTGCAAAAATAGTAATATTGTGAAATATTATTACGATTTAAAATAACTGTTTTCTATTTGAATATATTGTAAAATGTAATTTATTCCTGTGATCAAAGCTGAATTTTTAAAATCATTACTCCAGTCTTCAGTGTGACATGATCCTTCAGAAATCATTCTAATATGATGATTTGCTGCTCAAGAAACCGAGATGCACTTCAGGATTCTTTGATAAATAGAATAAAAATAAAAGCATTTATTTGAAATAGAAATCTTGTTACCTTATAAATGGCTTTACTGTTACTTTTGATTACTTTAATGCATCCTAACTTTGGTCACACTTTAGATTAGAGTCCAATTCTCACTATTAACTAACTACGACTTTTGCCTCAAACTCATAGTTACTGCCTATTAATAGTTAGTAAGGTAGTTGTTAAGTGTGGGTAGGATTAAGGGATGTAGAATATGGTCATGCAGAATAATGCATTAATATGTGCATAGAATAAATAGTCAATATAGTAATATACATGCTAATAAGTAGTTAATAGTGAGAATTGGACCCTAAGGTGTTACCATTTCTTTACAAATATATATATATATATATTTAATCTTTACCAAGATTATTTACTCAATATTTCATACATATATCATACATCAATTTCTTAAATCTGCTATGCACATTTCTGTAGAATTGGAACTACATATCCAATGTTACAAATAGCATGTCCAGCTCTTTAAATGGTTATGCTACTAATAAAAGTAAAGTCATTAAGAATCAGTTCAAAAACTGTTTCACTTTAACCTCAAACTCCCATTCCCCCCTGAAGAATGCACAAAGATATGCATCTGTAAACATCCACACGCCCATAAATGAGACCATTTCTCTTCATTCAGTGTTATTTATAAATAGATCCAGCCAGTTTCATCTTCATTTGATGCTCTGTGTTTATAATCCAGGCCACAGACCCCTTTACACAGCGTGCTTTTGCTAATAGGATTGATGCTGCCCGCACTGTGCACAACACCAACTGATGCTCGCTTCCTATTGGCTGAGCTGGAAGGTGGGCGGAGCTGATCCGTCCTGAATGGGCTGGAAATAGTGGAGGCTTGAAAAGTGTGATGATCTTCTTAGTCTATCTCTGCATATAGGGAAGAACGAGAGAGTTTTACCCATGTTCTGAGCAAAACTGCAATTATCTGTTTCCGTTCACGTTCTGTCCAAGGTGCATCTGCGTGGGTCGTTCTCCCATCTGGATCTGGGTGGTGGATATATGGAGATCTGCTAGTGTGGCTGGTGTTTTGTGGACGTGGGACACACGATGGCCGTGGCGCTGGATGCAGTGTGGGTGCGAGTGAAAGGGGTTTGTAAGCAGAACGGCCTGCTGATCCTCTCAGTGTTGGCCGTGGTTATCGGATGTCTTCTCGGCTTCTTCCTGCGCTCCAAGAACCTCTCGGAGCAGGTCAGTCATTCTGTCAACAAAGCACTGTAAAATTCTCCCCAAAAACCCTTTCCAACCCCGTCTATAGTGTCAGTATGGTCACAAACTTGGTCTCATTTGGTCCAAATGACCTGTGGGTTTCCTTTTTTTAGATGACTTTCCAGTAGAAGGTGTTTTAATGGTTATTGTTTGATCAGTATGGGTTTTACTATTAAACTATTGCTTTTGGTCCACCCCAGTCTTGGATAATTTGGTTACGTTTTTGCATCAACCCGTTTTGATTTTGAGATTTTATTTTCCGTCAATTTACTTTTTATCCATCACACATATATACACATCTCATTTATCGTTTGAACTGGTTGAAATCTCAAGTCATATTAGGATTAAGGCTAAACAAAAAAAAAGATTTTCTTCCTTAGTAGCCTATTTCTTGTTGTACAGTGCAAATATCTAAACATTATTAAATCAAGACACATTTACTTGAAACAATCAGTTTATGCTTAAAACAAGAAAAAAAATCTGCTAACAAGCGTCAGAAAAATAAACTTCAAAAGGAAGCAAGATTATTTTTGCTTATCTCACTGGCCGATCTATTTTTGTCTTAAGCATAAATTTGCTTCATTTTTATACATACATATCTGAAGTCATTTTGCTCCCCAAGTAAATGTGTCTTTATTTAAGAATTTTTAGATATTTGTAATGGAAAATAAAATAAAATACTGAGGAAAGTCATAGTTCTTCACTAGATTAAAACTACAGTGACTGAATGATTTCACGTTGGCCGCTTTGACTAAAACCTCCGTTATGATTCTCAAATACGCCTAAAAATAAAACCTCCAGAGGCCATTTGCTGTGACGGCCAGGGATTACTGTCCAATCATACAAATGCTCTTAGTAATTGTACATTAAGCAAATGCTGCTTAGCCTCGCAGCGTTTAAAGCAGGTCTGTGATGCTATCGGCGTTTCAGCTCAATTGGAATGGGCTCTTTTCAAAAACATTGACTTATTTTGCAAGAGAACCCCAGTTTGGACCTATAAAAGAAAGAAAGAAAATGTTACATGCATTTATGTATTTGGCAAATGCTTTTATCCAGAGCGATGTTTTGTCAGTACATGCATTCACTGAAAATTGAACCAATGACCTTGGTGTTGCTAGTGTTAAGCTTGATAAATTGAGCTACAGGAACATGGCAATCTAATTCATGTACACTTCTGGTCAAAAGTTTGAAATAATTACATTTTTTTTAAATGGTTCTGAGAGAACAGTACAAACAGTAATATCATGAAATTACCATTTAAAATAGCTGTTTTAATATATTTTAAAATGTAATTTATTCCTGTGATGCAAAGCTGAATTTTCAGCATCATTACTCCAGTCTTCAGTGTCACATGATCCTTCAGAAATCACTCTAATATGCTGATTTGATGCTCGAGAAACATTTCTGATTATTATCCATGTTGAAAACATTGTGCTGCTCAATATTTTTGTTGCAAAAAAAAAAGTAAAGTATTGAAAAGTATTTAGGGGCATTATATCAGTCAATTGACGATTATAATTTATAATGTCACAACATATTTCTATTTCAAATAAATTATGTTCTTTAACTGTGTATTAATCAAATAATTTGTTTGTTTCCATCAAAATATTCAGCAAAAACTATTTTCAACATCGATACTAATAATAATAAACTTTATTTTATAAAGTTCCTTTAAAAGCAGTTTCTCACAAAAAAGAAGCGCTGTACACAAAATAAGCAATACATAGCTCAAGAAATAAAAGTAACATCAACAAACAAATGCTAGTTTAAAAAACAAATCTCAAGTCAACCTTTAAAACATTTCATATGTCATAAGTTCAAAAGGCAGAGAATCCAAAGGGCAGGAGCATATGAAGAGAAAGCCCCGTCACCCATAGATCAAGCGTTTATGAGGAACAAACAACAAGTTGGATTGTGAAGATCGCAGTCTATGATTTGGGGTATAGGAATTTAACAATTCAGAGAAATAATGTGGAGCCAGGCCATGCTTTATACATTAAAGGGTTAGTTCGCCCATTTAAGACATGAAGTTGTATGCAATCCTTACCAGCACTATAGTGCATACACACTGACCCACTCTGTTGTCACCTCCCTGGTCAGAGTTCTGGCCGCTGGAAGTTTTTCAATAAAGTACTCCCGGTTATTTTCCGGGGCCACAAAACTGTGCGTTTTTACGTGAAAAAATGATTTGCGTTTCAAAGCTTGATTAATTTACCACACAAAAAACACGCCGGTCAAAATTCATACCTCAGTTTTAATCGGCACTATTTTCTATCCATTTCTATCTTTATTCTGGATATTTTAGCTCCCGCAGAGTAGCCGATGGCAACCAGCCAAAGCTGTCTCATAGTTATATTCGAAACAGGAAAACGATGGAATCTGAACTTTGATCCCGGCACATCCTTGGTCACAGCCTGGGAATTTACAAGTTCGCACCATTGTTAATTTAATACTTTTTACGTCGTTGTCAATCGATTGTGTAAACATTATGGAACAGCTGATCGGAACGCGCGCACGGTTGACGTTGACAGCAGCGCGGATTGATAGAAATGGATAGAAAATAGTGCCGATTAAAACTGAGGTATGAATTTTGACCGGCGTGTTTTTTGTGTGGTAAATTAATCAAGCTTTGAAACGCAAATAATTTTTTCACGTAAAAACGCACAGTTTTGTGGCCCCGGAAAATAACCGGGAGTACTTTATTGAAAAACTTCCAGCGGCCAGAACTCTGACCAGGGAGGTGACAACAGAGTGGGTCAGTGTGTATGCACTATAGTGCTGGTAAGGATTGCATACAACTTCATGTCTTAAATGGGCGAACTAACCCTTTAACATCATAATTTTTAAATTAACTCGGAATCTGACTTGGAGCCAGTGTAAGACTGGATTGATATGATTGCATATCCTGGACCCAGTCAATATCCTGGCGCCCGAGCTTGGCACATATTGCAGTTTGTTTAGTGTGGATTTAGAAATGTATCATTGGACGAAATCTTGATATACTGTATTTCTGAGGTGAAAAAAAGGATGATTTAACTGTACTCTGAACAAAACAATCAAATAAAAAACCTAGTCTCTAAAGGTTCCTCGCTTTACTTTGAGTCTCCAAGACAAATTTGATGGAAATTGGGAGGATGGGAACCAATGAGCATAACTTTCATGCTTACTAATTGAGCACCAAATCAGAATATTTGCCATCACAGTAATTAATTACATTTTAAAAAAGAAAACAGTTTTTTTTTAAATAATAATATTTCCCAATATTACAGTTTTTTACTGTAATTTCAATTATATAAATGCAGCCTTGGTGAGCAGAAGAGACAAAAACATAAAAAATCTCAATTAAAATCTTAATTATTCCAAACTTTTGACTGGTAGTGTGAATGAATGCAATGCATGTTCTCACAATCTGTGACGCACGAGAATCACATTGCACCAAAATCTCAAATTATGTTCCTATTGGCTATTTCCAATAGTCTAGCAGCAAATATGTGCCTCACTTCATACACCGCTCTATTATCTCTCTATCTCTCACACAGTCCTTTGAGGAGACCCTTGGGAATGGGAAGAGAATAGCTTCTACAAGTATCTCTCATGCACTATTTATTATATGTACAGAGTATAATACGTTTCAAACATATAATGTGATATTTATGTACAATGCACTGCAATTACAACTATATCTCTCTATTGATTTCTTTCTACAGAAAAGCAAAAAAAAAAAAAAAAAACAGGTTAAGAGCCTATGATGTGTGGAGGTTTTGTATGAATTATGTATGAGAGTCATAAGAGGATAGAGAAGAGACTTAACTAACCCGAAAGTACTAGACACACACACACACACACACACACACACACACACATTTAGCTAGCCATTTTACTACAGAAAATGTTATTGTGTTTAAATTAAGCTACAACTGCAGATCATAAAAGAAAATGTATAGGCCAAATTAAGAAACATTACCAAAAAGCTTTAATTAAAAAAAATTCATTTTATTTTAAAGGATGTCAGATTTTATTAACTTTTTCAAACTATTAAATCAGTAGTTGTGATAGTCCTTTCTTCTCTATTGTGACGTACAGTTGTAATCGAAAATAATTCAACCCCCATTGCAAATCAGGTTTATTGGCAAAATGTACAGACTTTCAGCTGTTTACAATGAACAAATCAAACAAAAGTCATTGAAATAACAAGTGGTTTCCCCAAATTGAACTGTAAATGCAACTTAATGACTTCTGCAGTCTCAAAATGAGTCAACCCCCTGAATAGAATCCCTCACAACAGCGCAAATCTGCAAAACAGGTGTCGTCATCAAGGGCTTCATTAGTTGCACCAGGTGTGCTTGAGCTAGAACACATGAAAAATCTGAACTGGCTGGGTTTGTTGAGTGTCACGTTTGACTGCATGTTAGAAATATGGCTAAGTCAAAAGAATGGTCCAAAAAGTAAAGAAAAGAGATTATCGGCCTTCACAAACAAGGAACAGGATACAAAAAGATAGTGAAGGCACTAAATGATCATAGAGACGCCGTTGGAGGCATAGTTCGCAAGTTCAAAGTTAAAGGAACAGTGGCTACGCTACCTGGACGGGCAGAAAAATAACAACAGCTGCAACCAGATTTCTGAGAAGGCAGGTTCAGAAAAACCCTTGAGTGACTGCAAAAGACCTGGAGCAAGACTGAGGTTTCAGCTGCACGGTAAGTCGTGTACTAAATGCAGGCTCGTCGCCAAGGGGGGGCATTAGGGGGCCGTGCCCCCCCCCCCCCCCCCCCCCCCCAGATGACACAACGTGCCCCCCTAATCATATGGTCATTGAGCAAACTTACTATAGAGAGCAAAAAAACGTATCCACGTATTCCATAACGAAATGTCGTCAGCAGCATTTAGCACACAGGTGCACTAATCTCTGTAACTTTAAATAACACATTGTCTTCAGAAATATGAAAATTAGTCGGAGCGTGTAAGGCTCTGCGCAAGGCTTA